GTATCAACAGACCTATAGTACCCTCCCTGTCATCAAGTATTTATTAACACGCAACATTTACTATGTATACCATTACCAGATGTTCAGTTTTATCTGGTCAATTGTTTTCGATAAATATGTTTTAAATGGAAACCATTCACCAAAGTACAAGGTCCCCCGAATTCAGCTAAAAATATTTATTGTTTTTGATACTTCAGTTCTAGGTACAGAACATGCTTCCTCCCTGATTCAGAGAAGAAAACCATATGACTAAGTTTGTTGTCATTAGTGATTTTTGGCAGGATAATTTGCTAGGTTGACTTCCCCTTCTTCTTATAATCATAATATTACGCTTGGATACGGTAATTTCACCTGTACTGATACTGAAAGAACACTGTACAATGTAGCAATACAATGTTTATTAACATTTACAAAGCATTGTTGAAAATATCAACAGGGGTTTTTTTGGGCTACAGTTTGAATTGATTTTTGAACCTCATAAAGTAACAGTAGAACTACTGTAGAGAAGATGCTATAATAACACTAGAGAACTATGGATATTTTTAATGGGTCTCAAATTTAGGTCTATGAGACTATGCCGTATTATTTATATTCAATGTTGCTATGATATTACATCATTCAATATTATAACTACCAGTAGATAAATCGTAAACAAACATAGGATGATTGATGAAGGATCTGTGTGTTTACAAAGTCAAGTAAATATGTTCAATAGATCATCAACGGTAATGTTGACTTACAGTCTACTTACATTGCTGTAATTCCATAAAGAAATCCCAGCTTTGTATAGAATAGAATAGAATGCTTTAGTCATGATAAGAATTCTGCTGTATTGTTGAAAACATGGCAGAACCTGTGTACTGTATTCTGGAATTGGCTTTACGCCCACAAATGTCAGATACATTACATCATGCTCAGAATTAGTGATTGCTAGCGCTAACACTGTGATTGAACATTCGTAGATTGCCATTGGCAGTGGGTTCAGTAACTGTCTACACTGTCTTATGCAATCTCAATGAACTCTCCACCAGAATGTTTTCAGTTTTGCATTTTTTCTTGTTTATTTTTAAATATTGTATTTATTCAAATAAACACCCCACTTTTGAATAAACACCTCCTCTTGAATATATGCCCCTATAGAGCCTCATTTGGAATAAATGTCTCCCTTAAATAAATGCCCAATAAATGACGGTTAACAAATATCATGGAAGCAACATCATTCTCAACACATTATATTAATGTTCTACTCCAGTAGAATTACATTTTTCCAGTCTGGTTTGGGATCAATAAGTTTTTATGATCACGCAATAACACATTTACAGTTAAATTAAGGAGCATTTATTTGAGTATATACACCCAAAAAAAATAAATGTCTCCCTTGAATAAACACCCCCTTAAAAACACTTCTCAACACTAAATACCTCACAGGGCATTTATTCGATTAAATACAGTAAATCCTTAATCCAGAGCATTTCTTTAATTAAACAATCAAACTTTGTTTTACATTTAGATAAAATTCTGAAGTGATCAACAGTATTAAGATCACTTATACCATGTTGTTTTAAGTGCATTCCTATGTTTCCCTTTCTGTGTTCATCAATGCGTTGATAAAGGTGTCGGCAAGTATAGCCGACATAGCTTGAATCACACAAGCCACATTGAAATTTATACACAACGCATTGTTCGTTAACAATCTTAGGTTTTCTTTCTCTCTTCTTTAAGATTTCACCTACTTTCCTACTAGTAAACACTGGAATAATTTCTTTATCAATCTTAGAGCTGAGTTGTTTAAGTTGTTTAGTAACTGAGTTTGCTGAAAGCTGATCCTTAAAAGGCAGTACAATTCTAACAGTAACTCTTAGGAAGTATTGTATCTGAGGGTACAGTAACTGCAAATTGATTTGCACTTTTGAAGTATGTGCAGGTATTCTAGTTGCCTGTGGTGTAAGTGTATGCTCTATGTGATCATTCACATTTAGTTGACAAAAGTAAATTTACTGAAGCTATTAAGCTTATGATTAGTCACCCTTAACTTGATTCAACCAAATTGGCTCTCAACCACTCTGTTGGTTAATAGTTAACTAGATATGAGATCAAGGCAGTGTCGAAAATCACCAGTTCCACCCAGTTAGCCCATGTTTCATTTTCATAACCGACAGTGGCTTAAGATTGCTGTAGTTGAAAAGAAGATCAATTAGATATATTTTTTATTTTGTTTTTTTTACCATCCTTTATAGTATACCAAAAATATTATCGTAGCAAATAGATAGAAATTTGTGTTCTTGGCTTAATTGTTAATTAATTCTTTAATTAAGTACTTTCAATTACTTGATTGAACCAACAACAAAATTTATACAATAATGCAATATGCTTATTAAAACCACAATAAATTAAAACCACTTGTCCTACAGTATCAAAATATACGTACAGAGTAGCTCTTAAGTTCTACTGAACAACATGTAATTTTCAATGAGTACAGGTCATAAGAAAAGCCAGTAGGATACTGCACTCTGGGCATCTTCATCCAAGCTGTACTAATAAGAGGCTCGGTAGGCTGCCATGCAACCTCTTCTTATCATGGTTGCATGAGAAAATAAGCTTGTAGATTGCTGTGTACATTTCTTTTTTTTTTTATAAGAAAACATTTTATTAAAGAACACCAACACAACAAAATAATGAACAAATTGAGGCTGAGGTAAAATCTCAAATGAAGTTTATTATTGAAAAACCAACAAAGCAAGCTAGTCACTTACAGTAAAGTATTGATATTTAAAAAAGTTAATATACTGTATTATAATATTATATACTATGTACAGTAATACCCTCTAAATAAAATATAGTACAGTATATACAGTGGTACAATAAGAATTTTCTATCTTGAAAAGTGTAAAATAAAAACACTTTAAGCCTGAAATTGGGAAAAAAAAGAACACTTGAGTCTGGAAAAAATTTGCTGGTTCTTATAAAAACGTGTACTCAAGAACACAATTCGGTTTCCCACTGGAGAAAAATAAAAACGGACCTCAGAGACCTAAGAGAGTCCTCCTTTCATTTTTTACCAGCATTTTTTTTTAGGTGAACAGTCTAAATCCTTGCAGGTATATAATTAGTAGTCTAAAATGATCTGTGTAATATGTATACTCTATCAAATTCCTAATGAAAGGCATGGCAGCCAATTATTGGATGAAAATGGTTGGCACAGCAGTTTTGATCTATTGCTGTATACTGTACTCCCAACCTAAAGTACATTGGCTCAAACTCTTCCAAACTATAAAATTATGTGGCTGCAGTAAAAATGGAGAAACAGGGTACAGTATGTTAAAATGTTTTTTAAAGACATCAAAGAAACATAAAACAGTAACCAGTGACTCAACTTTTTAATTAGATAGACTATATAATTACAATTTTCTTGATATTACATTACTAATTTTTGTAATTAATGTATGTTGCTTTTTATTACAATTTAATAATAGATTTTGTTAGGTACTGTTGTAATCATTTTGAAAGATATTTTGACATTTGCTGTTAAATTTCAACTTCCAATTTCATAGTAGGTATGTTGGTTAATTCAACATATTAGCAAATTATGACGAATTATGATACATGTGAACTTAATCATTGTGTCTATGAATGTAATTAATCGTTATGACTTTATCAATTCATAGCATTCTATGTCTAACCGAAGTTGTTTGTTATTGAAGCATACATATGAAGTTTTTCTCAATCACTTTCTTCTTGACTGTTTAGAATTGTGGATACAGTTGTGTTGAAGTTAGCTTGAATGAAAGTCTCCCTGTGATCTTAATTGGCAATACCTTTTCTCCCATTGGCAGTATTTGCGCAAAAGTTCAATGTCATACCACAAGCTGGGACAGAGGAATACATTTCAGCTTGTTGGGGTACAGGTCTGCGACTTCAATACTGATTGGATGTCACTGCTCAAATTGAGACCCTTCTGCCATGTGTTTCAAAACTCACAATTGTTAGCAAGTTTGCCTTTTGGACAGGATTATAAATTGTCAAATAACTGACTGTGATTAATGTAGCATATTAAACAATTCTATAGCAAATTTATGTTTTTGTGTATTATCCTCATTAATCAACTAACCCTAAAAATCTTACTTTTGAATTTACAACGTGTACTTCTGCAGTGTCAGTGTTGAGCTAATAGTTGAATACACTTATTTTTTATAACAACCAGTAAAATTTTTCCCAGGCTCAGTGTTATATTATTTTTTTTGCAGATTTCACGCTCAAAATTCGTTCTTATGTTCTTCTTATTTTTAATCAGTTTTCAAACTAGAAAATTATTATTGTACAGCAATAATATATTACATATTGCGTATTACAGTTTCCTGCTGTACTGTATTATATAGGGACATAGTTACACCTACTGCAAAAAAGGTACAGATAAAAATTTGTTGGTTTTCTATTTTTTTAAAAAATAAAATAAAAATATCATTTGACATTTTTCCTTGTATGTTCATATTTTGTTCTTAATTTTAAGCAATTTCAGCCTCAGTGTTCTTATAAGATGTGTTATAAAAAAGTGTAAAAAAGTGTAATACAATTCAAAATATTATTGCTTATTCTGTTGCATATAAGTAATTTTATTAGATTTCAATTAAATTTTAAAACAAGAAAACATTTTTTTGTGTTAGTCATAAATAACCATTATTTTCATAGACTTTAAATTTACTGTTGGTTTAAGATTTTTATAATTTTTACAATAGCCACTGTATCTTAAAAGTTAAGAGTTTGACAAGTAAAAGATATAATTTTTACGTATTTGTTATATAACACCATTTTCTTTACTTCTTGAGTGCTTGTCATTTTCTAAATTATTACAGATTTGTTAGTATTATAGAGCATAGAGTAACCGTGGTTTACAGGTACTTATCGATCTATTTTAAATATAAATCAGGAATTTAAAGATAGATGTACTGTAAATGATGATATTAATATCATCATTCAATCAATTCAATCAATCTTTTTTTCAGAGGAATTATGAAGAATGATATCATCAAGTGGATGTTAGTTTTGTTGGCAACCAGTTGTAAATGTATGAAATCCAGAGATCGTTTACCAAACATCATTCTGATCTTAACTGATGACCAAGATGTTATGTTAGGTAATGCTTTAGCTACTTCTCTCCTTCCTAATCTTGTTTATAGATTAACTGAGTATTTATTTATAAATTATTCCATAACTCTGTACTGTGTAAAATCATTTTTGATATTAGATTTGAATGAATAAAAATCAGATTGAGTATCAGACTGTATAATTCAGTGTGGTAATTAAAATTATTTGAGAGAAAACTTGGCATGTCTATAGAAATATTGACGTCTGATTACAAGTGATAGTAAAATGATCATGTCAAAGGTTAACAAGCTGCTAAAGTGGTCATGAGACAATTGTTGGAAAGAAGACAATAATATCCGAGCAGGTAGTGTGACCATGACAACAATTTGCAAGCAGGTAGAGAGATTGTCATGACAGATGGGATGCAAAAGAGGCAGCCATGAAAGCAGTTGGCAATGTAGAGAGGGTGTCGTGACAGATGGTAACTTTTGACATGACAGAGAGATTGCTGTGACAGATGGCAAGCAAGAGAATTGGTCATGGCATCTTTTGGCAAGATAGAAATATTGACATAACAGCTGCGACAACGAGGTAGAGTGGCCATGGCAACAGTTGGGAAATACTGTACAGTAGTTAGAGATATCATAGCAACAGTATCAAAGATTGTTACTATCACAATAATTTAGAAGAGTCTTTCTGAAACTGTTACAGCACAAGTACGTACAAAGTTTTAAGAAGTATTTGAAGAGATACTTGCACTTCAAAATGGTGAAATGGAAAGTGCTGTACATAGACAAAATTTTGTTTGAAATAAATGTGGGTGTGAAATCCCACGAAAGAGAATAAAACAGATACTTGCTTTTTGGGACAACCTGCCTGGAGGTTATAATTCTGTTGATAGTAATTGTTATTGTCGTGATGGAATAATAGACAAGAACTGGATTTGCGTCAGGAGAAACATGTATAGGTGTAATTTTGCCCTACCCGACGTGGAAATGTACCAAATACTCGGTACATTTGAAAACAACTGCGAAAAAAAAACTCTGTTGATGCAAAATGCCATGAGCATCAGTTTTGGCAGATACCGTCAATATATAAATTAATATTGAAGCAACCAGTTATATTATGTTAGCGTTTTATAAAATTTGTGAATTGTTTGCATTTTGCATGCCTTTCTGTTCCCATTTAGTTTTTGTTATACTTTAAAAAAAATTTTATTGAAGGATCCATGTCTGTGATGAATAAAACCAAGGAGTATCTTGGCAAAAATGGTGCTAACTTCATCAATGCATTCGTGACAACTCCATTGTGCTGCCCTTCTAGAAGCAGTATACTCACTGGAATGTACGAGCATAATACTGGTGTTTTTGACAACCAGGAAACCTGTGTCTCAAAGGAGTGGATTGAAGGGCCAGAAACAAGAAACTTTGGAGCTTACCTTCAGAAAAGTAAATACAGGACAGGTGAGCATTTTAACATTGAATTTCAAGCATTAATATTAAAATGAATATAAAAAATTAATATAAAAAGTTTTTTTCATACAGAATTTAATAATATTATGTTGGTCTTTTTAATTCAGTTCATTTATTTTCAAGAGGACATAAAATGTACAATAAAAATATAAAAATTAGTGAAAAAAGATCACTATATTAAACTCTACTTCTGGTGTAGGGCAAAATAAAAGAATGAATACGCTTAACATATAACATTAAATAAGGCGGGGAAACACTTAGGGCATCTACTGTAAAAAGACAAAGATCAGTTTAAAAGTTCATCATACCAAGGCTTTAAAGTGGAGTTAAGTAACTTGGTAGTTAAGATGCTTTCCTTCAATTCCTAAAGGTCCTGGGTTCAATTCCTGTCATGATAACAGGATTTTTGTCATGAGCAGAAACAATTTCACTTCCTTAGCTACACAATGAGATCTAGTCTTTTTAAGGTTTGTCTTGTGCGTATTTGTCTTTTGAAATGATTGCTACTTAGAAATGTGATTAAGTTCGCTGTTCAGCCCTTGTGCCTAAAGTTAAATAAAAATGCTTCTATGCATAATTCACATTATTTCACCTGTAATTGAATCAAGTAAATATGAAATACACACCCAAATCCCTGTGAAGTATTGATATTAGACCCAACCATGTACCAGGTACCACTAGATTAAAGAGAAATATATATCTAATTGCATCAGTTGGTTTTTCTTTTCTCCTGCAGGTTATTTTGGGAAATATTTGAATCGATACAATGGCTCGCATATACCGGAAGGTTGGAGGGAATGGGTTGCTCAGCTACAAAACTCAAGATATTACAATTATTCAATTAATCGTAATGGCCAAATTCATAGACATGGCTATGACTATTATCGGTAGGTTTTTTATTAGTTTAAATTTAGCCTTTTTATTGATATTTTCCTATTTGTTATCGTCATCAATTTTCATTATGAGAATCTGCATTGTCTATTTTGTAAACCATTGTTCAAACATATGTTTTTTCACTTTTTAAAATTGTTCTTAAAATCATTATTACAAGCGTAAGCATATTATCAAATGAAACTATTTTCCAAACTTTATATTGCATATTTAATCACTTATATTACTTCGAGTTGGGTAAGGTAAAATTATAATTGTTTATTCTTGTTTATTTTTATATATAATAATATTTATATATCTCAGAAACTAGATGGGACCACATTTTCCAAGCTTGTCATTAAAGGTCAACTGATATTCAGGGTCCTTTTAAGTGATGTGATATGCCTATATGGTCATGATGCGATGTCATCATGACCATACAGTACTATATTTTAGTTGTTAAAATTGAGAAAAAAAACCCCTGGTGTAACAGGATTTGAACCCAGATGCTAAGATCTGAAGGCAGGTACTTTAACTGTTAAGCTTTACCTCTGTTATCGGTTCAAGCACTTTCCATCATCACTCTATTCCCTTAGCCACATCCTTTCAATCACTTGCCAACGTCACAATAGTAAACTTGGCCAATTCCCTGTCAATCATTTGCCAACACCACCCTTGGCCACGTAACTGGTGTAATAATATCCATGATGCTACATTATTACGTGGGATCTCAATCAATACTTTTGCATGGAAAACCTTGCTAATGGGCTCATACCAATGAAAGAATTGATCGCTGCAAAATTACCTGTAGGCCCATTACATTCCATCATTCAACCTTATATTGATTTTGAAATCTCACAATGGGTCAAGTACACTTTGATAAATTATGTTCTTTTAGCATTTAATTAAATCCATCACCTAGTTAATTATAGGGGTTAGAATCTATAGTGTGCAACATCACTAAATATATAATGGTTGCATTTTGAAAGTTATTCCCTAGAATAATAACATTAATTATTATTATTAAGTCATTTAAGAGCTACATTTTTGAAGTTGATCTTAAAACAATATTTGTATAACCTAATAATATACAGTTTCTTATACATAATTTAAGAGCTACAAGAGCTACTATACAATATATTTTTAAAGTTGCTCTTAAAACAATAATTGGATAATTGGCTTATTCCCTCACCAACCTATTCAGTCTGATTTACTGTTTATTTGGATTTGATTTGCTTGTTATATTTCACTAATTCGAAGTAGCTGGCATCACATTCTCTCCTTGCGCAGCATGCTGTACCACAAACCATTAGCATAGTTGGGTAGACCAGAGTATAGGCCTCTATAACCATTAACTATAGCAGAGTAGGCCCATTCATTTAATAATTGGTGTAATTTGAGTTGGATTACTATGAATATCACTTGCTGATGAGATATTCTGACTGATTACTCCCAGGTAATGCCAGGCTTGAGGGCACTATACCAACTGTATCTCATCTATTTCTGGTTATCCATGATTTAATCTAGGGATTGACATGTGTGTAGTTTGGCAGTGATTTAGCTGGTAGTAGTATATCTTTCATTGACTACTGTAGTTCCATTATGTTCTATTGATGTAGCATTAAGTGTGTTTTGTCACTCCATCTATCAAGTGGTTTTTGGTTGCTTCATTGATGTACCATCAAGCATGTATCAATATATTTTATGGCCCTGTTAATGTATTGTAGGATTAATTGAAGTGTATGACATTCCGCTGAGTGATGTAGCCGAATTATCATATATCAATTTGATTTTTTATCATTGAATGTAGCACAAATTTTTTATGCTTAGTGTATATGTTGTACGGTAGTAGCCATCTTTGAGAGAGACACTTGGCCGTCATTGACGGGATTCGTTGACAAAATCACTGCAGGTTTTTACTTTAAGCCAAGATTACCATTATACTGCACATATGCATTTAAGTTAACTTTTTGTTTTATTTTATCTTATATTTTTAATTTTTTAAGTATTTTGTTTAATTGATTAAAAAGGACTAACTTCTCGTAACCCTGGGTTGGATCCTGACAAGTACTCTACCTCCAGGTCAGAAGGATCCTGGAGCACATTGTGGGTTCATTGGGTTTTCCATTGTGGCAGTGGCGGCACCAGTGGTGGGGGGAGGGGGCAGCTCGTCGGGAAGTCGGACCAAAAAAAAAAAAAATAGGTTCAGTTTTCCCATCCCAGCCATTTCCGGCCATCTAGAAGTCCCAATTTTTAAAAAAAAAATCTTGTTTTGGGCTCCCATACCCACCCCTGGCTCTGGCCTTCAGCCCTCAGATACTGATGCGTGTTATAGTTACACCCATAAATAATTAGCTCCCCAGTCGGACATCTTAGCCCCCACTATAAGTAATATCCTAGAGCCGCCACTGCATTGTGGTAGATCATTGTAGTATTGTAAATTTTAGTTGCCTTTCAGTCTGGATATGAGTTATAAATACAGTATTATCATCAGTTTCTAAATTGTTGAAACATCCTTCTTTCATGCAATGTTGTTTACCACCTGCACCTCCCCCTGAGCCCTGCTGGAGCCTTGGATTGTCTCCAGCTATATGATTAGATCTCAAATCTCTTGCTTCTGATACACCTATGTTATTGTCTAGAAACAATATATCAGTGCACACAATAAACACTTTATAATATTAAATTCCAATTTCATATTTAATGTCTCATGGTTGATGTATGTTAATATTAGAATATGTATTATACTCACATAGCAAATTCATAAACCACTGTCTGTGTTCAGTTAATACTGAATGTACACGACAAATGTATGGGTAATTTTAGCAACAATAATTCATTCAGTTAATCACATCAAGAGTATTCCTAAAAGAAATACTACAACACAAGTGCAATAACATTTTTGTAACATGCACTAAACTGCAAAATAATTGAGTTGTTGGCTTACTTCAACAGCAGTGGATCTCATTTAAACGTTTAACCTTCGTTCCAATTCATACTGTTTTCTGAGTTGTTTTATAGGAAGTTATTGTTACTTTTGACAAGGCTGTGAAGTACTGCAATTTTTAATGAGTTTAGCTTAAAATGAAGATGACATTATCATGTGGAAAATAAGTCAAACCCATTAAATATGACCTATGACCTAAAAAAAAGCCTATAATATTTATGGATATTCATTTTAATTCCCTAAAATGCATTAATACAATTTGCTTGTACTGAATACAATTCAGTATCTAGTAAATACAAATATAGTACAGTATATATATTAACCATACTTTTGTAAGTCAGTGGACTTTCCTTTTTTCTTCCAATTTTTTACAATTTTGAGAACTACTGTACAGTGGGACCCGGGCTGGCTGGGTTCTTAAATCCGCTACTGCTTACAGTAATTATTAAAATATTGATTTTTACCTTTAAAATAATTTGTTTATCAACTTCCAGTGAAACACTGATCAAAATTATTCATTTTGTGGCTGTTTAATTAAAGATGATTTACTATCAAAATCTTTAAAGTGATTGCTAGCAAGGTTTAATAGACTAAAAATTATAATTACACATCTTTTTAATTGACAAAGTTTTTTTTATTATATTATTTTCAATTGGAAACAACAAGTTATATCAATATACAAAGGGTTTGAATCTGACTCGTTTGCTCAGAGTTTTCAACGTTCAAGAAAGAAAAGTTTATACTTTAATAAAAATTGTCTGAAAAATAGGCTAACTCTTAACTTTTTATCACAGTTGGCCAAATTTATGATTTCCTTGAGTAGCAGGTCACAAATTAACTCAATGCCATTCTAAAAATGTTCATTCCGTGTGAACTTTCTCGCATTTTTTTCTAATCAAATATTAAAAATTTACAAGTGCATTTCCATGAAATCTGTCAATGTTCCATTCTTGTGAAATTCTGCGGAATGATTTCATCGGGACTTGATGAATTGTGTAGTGGCAAAATTATTTAGGAATTCCCCCAAACACTGCACATTTAAGAAGTGCTTATTTATTAAGATTGCCAAAGAAATGTTTTTGTTATTTATTTAAAAGTTGTTTTTGTTATTTGTAGAAAGATAAGGCAGAGAATGATACTACTACTGTATATCAATATGATTAAGTAGTACGTCACAGTCATCATCATGTGTATAGTATTGTGTACGTGACAATAAATAAATAAAACAAACTTGAGTGATTGAATTCCAAAGAGGGATCGCTTGATAGCTGGCTAGTGTATGACAATAAAACTTGGGATATGTAGGCCTATTTCAAAGAGAAATAAAGGAGTTTAGTTAAACAAAAATTCACTATTAGCTCCTTGATCTTTTCTGAACACAAACTCATCAATGCTTGCAAAGAAATCCATGCCATTGGCCACAATGAGCTAAAAAAGCATTTAACGACAATTTGATGATAAGAGGTCGATCCCCTCTAAGGAAATCTGCCTATTCTTACAGTGCCCCATTGGGGATGAGTCTGAGATTCAGCAAATATTAACAGGTGTTGTTGGTTTCAGTCTGTACCTGTTGATACGGTGATACCAACTTACCCCTGGCTGTTGTTGAGACCAACTTCCTCCTGGCTGTGGTTGACTTTTTGCTCGGCCAAACTTGCCCTTAGCTGTGTTGTTGACTTCTTCCCTACCAACTTGCCCTTGGCATTCGTTGATGTCTTTCCCATTGAGCTTACCTTTGACTCTGGTTGACATATTTCCCATCTTTGTATTGGCATCAAAGTTATATTCAAACTCTTTGAATTAGGATTTGAATTTTGTTAACCAGATATGATTTTATGTTATGATTTTATCAATTTATGTCTTTTGTATAGACACATATTTCTTAATAGCCTGTTATTAAGTAACATACTATAAACAAAACCTGATTAAATTTAACATAAATTTAGGTGAATACATTTTACAGCTGTTTCTAACAAATATTTTCTTTAAAATTAAAATGTTGTTTTTTTCAGAGATTATTTTCCTGATTTAATAACAAATGACAGCCTGACCTTCTTCCATCTGTCCAAGAAAAATTACCCCAATCTTCCTGTTGCCATGGTATTATCGTATCCAGGACCACATGGACCTGAAGATGGCGCTCCTATGTATCAACATCTGTTCGAAGGCAATCATCTTCACCGGTAAACTTTTTTATTTTAACATATGTATGGGTCAGCTAGAAGTAAAAGTAAAGGTGTAGTCCCTTCATATCTTTTCAGTTGGGAAATTATTTTCCTATGTATTTTACTTGTTACAACACATCGTCAATATACCAAGAAATTATTTGTGCTTTCCAGTAATTAACTATGGTCAATGTAGGAATAATATTATTTTTTATAAAATTGAGAAAACATGGTGTAAATAACTTGGATGTTTTTAGCATTAACTGGTCAATGAACGACTATTTTTAGATTCGACACAGTAGATGACACTGAATATAGTTTGTTAATGCTTTAAAAACAATAAAGCATTTCGTTTTCATTTTTTATTAGAACACCGACCTGGAACTATATGGAAAATTCCGACAAACATTGGATTATTCAAGTAATGGAAGAGATGTCAGACTTGGAGATTGCCTTCACGGATGCTTTGCAGCGCAAGAGGCTTATCACTCTCATGTCAGTTGATGATGCCATTCAGAGGGTAAGCAGCTTATCACCCTTATGTCAATTAATGCCTTTGAAAATGTAAGGCTCATCACCTTCATGTCAATCGATGCCATTCAAAAGAGGTTCATCGGGTTGATGCCATTTGTAATATTATGTTGTAATATCTGTTAATGGCATTTCAAAAGTAAAAGGCTCATCAAATTCTTGTTAGTTAATGCCATTAAGAAGTTATGAGGCTCATCACCCTTATGTTATGTCAATGCCATTCATGAAGAGGTTACAATTTTATGTCATTTGATGCAATTTAAAGGTAAGTGATTCATCATCCTCATCTCATGATGTTGTTCAAAGTGTAGGAGCCTCATCACCTTCATGTCAATCTATCAGATTCAAACTGTAAGAGCCTTGTCACTCTCATGTTGTGATGCCTTTAAAAAAAAGTGAAGATGACCATTTTCGTGTCATTGTGAAGACTAGAGGATTCTCACCTGCTAGTCATGATGCCATTTAAAAAGTAAGAACCTCATCACCGTCGTCTTATGATGCCATTCAAAAGGTAAAAGAATCACCACTCTCATAGTAGTTGATTTGATGTCAAAATAACATTTTTGCTACTACTGTATAATTCCTTTTCGAATTGTCTTCCTTTCTGTGGCTGAAAATTGGCATACAGTGGATAACATTAAATGGAAACATCAAATGCAAAATTTCTATTAAAGGATCAGAATGCTTTCTTTCAATATGAGGCTTTATCGGAATTTCAACTTCTACAGAATTGTCTACATCACCTACATTTCACAACTGGCAGGATTATTTGTTAACTCTGTATTATTATCCTTCAGTTTTTACAACAATAACATGATTCATTGGTGGCTCTGGCAACAAGCTTAACGATAATTTGCCGATAATTTGTGTTTCTGGAATTACAGTAATGTTGATTGAGACTAGTGGACTTCATATAATTCTTGGTGATTTATTAAGATGAAAATATTGAAAGCTTGACCATGTATACTGTAACTTGAAGGCTATTTTAAAATATGTTGAATTGGTAAGGACTACAACTACTGTAATCTCATTAGTTGCCAGTTATATCAATTGACATTGTGTTATACATTCCAAAATTAATGAGGAAAAATATAAATTATACCCTATTCAGACTACACTCCGTTGCGATCAGTTGCGATGTAATCGGTGGTAACCCAAAACAGAGTACTCCTGATTGCAATCAACAAGCGCATTTAGACCAACACAAAAAACTTTACATTGAAACAGGAGGTCAAATGGCTCTAGGCCTCTAGTGGCTATATCTATGTTGACTGGCCAATCATAGTGACTGTGGAATTTTCTGTGATTCGTTGCGATCAGATTCTGTGGTAATTGGGAGTAATAAAGATTGTAGCCCACAATTCCAACAGGTAACAATTGGTGAGATTTCACACATGATTGTGAATTGCGATTATGTGTCGCAATTGCTACAACCGATTGCAATGCGATGTTAGTCTGAATAGGGTATTACATACATATTTACATCGTAGAGTGCCATTTTGTCCATCTGTAGGTACCATAGCCGTAAAGTTTTGTACCTTAGCCAATGAGACTTGAGATACTCCGGACCATACATCTGTAAAATATCCTCCCTGGACCCATCCATTTTGAATTAATGTATCCGCCACTGGTCAACTATTCTCGATTCATTGTGAATCAAAATTAGAGAATAGTTCGTATTGATTTTTGAAAACAAGTTGAGTTTTCATTTCATTTTTTTTTTACCTTGAAGTTATGTCAAAAACTAGAATCACTGGGAGAATTGGACAATACATATATTATATTCACCTCTGACCATGGCTATCATCTAGGACAGTTTGGATTGGTGAAAGGAAAGTCAATGCCATACGACTTTGATATCCGTGTCCCTTTCTACATCCGAGGACCTGGTATTCCAGCAGGAATTGAGTAAGTTAACACCCCTAATGTTTAAAATTTTTGTGTTCAGTAAAGTAGTTATTCAACTGCACAGGAAGGTTGATATTCAAACACTCAATGATATTTTTCTTTGTTAATTTCTGCTGTATGATTATTTTGTTAAATGAAACTATTAACAGTCATATTGCAACGTGTAGTACACATATTGTCTAAGTTAACTAGTAACATAATATTTTATCATTGTATTATGACAGAAAAATATATTAGTTAAATTAATGTCTTAGAGTATGGTAGAATTTGTGTTTAAGGTGCTTGCACTCTAATCCAGGGTTCTGGGTTAAAATCCCATTTTTTCCCCCTAATGGATGACTAAAAACAGCTTCATTCCCTAAGCTTTATAAGACTAAGTTTATGTAGTGTAATTCCATCCTGTATGTGGTGAGTCATTTACTGTTGAATGAAAATGAAAAAAAGAAAGTTAATTTTTGTATGACGTCATGAACTGTGAAAATTGAATAATATAATGTTTCTAATCTTCAGGGTCCCAAATACGGTACTGAGTATTGACATCGCACCAACAATTTTGGACATGGCGGGAGTGTTAATACCGGAGCACATGGATGGCGTCTCAATTCTCAATCTTTTCACACATTCAAAGATGTATGTACGCTTTTATACTCACTTGCTTAGTTACCTATATGTTTATTAACATGTCAAGGATATAGAGTCTGTGTTTATGCTAATAAATTTGGTCATTGAATTTGAATATATGAATTGTTGGATCTGCCACAGTACCACTATTTGTTGAATGCAAACACTTATAGACAAGGTAGTAAATACATTCTACAGGTGTGTGGTAGGCCTTATTTCTAACTTTTAAAAAATTATGATTCAATTTTCTAGTAAATTTTAATGAATAATGTAATAGCAAGTTTGTAATCATCATACTTGCAGAGTTTTATTTAAAAGTGGAATACTATAAACAATGAGTGTTACCTAACATAAAATGGTTAGACATGGGTTAAAGTACCTTGAGACTTAACGCCAGCCTTAAAGTTATACAAGACATAAATTTACGACAGCTACCTGTGCATTTAGGTTAGGTAGCAGAGACTTCAGACTTGTCATGCAGCATTTAATGTTTACAGCTGGCGTAGAATGTTTTCCTGGATTAAATGTAATTTAATGCTTGACTAAAGATAACCAAGTTCAGATTTCAACATTTTCAATCTGATTCTCTGATACACCTGGCTTAGGTTTCAAATCTGAATGTAGCCTTTATTGTGCTTGTTCATTGGTCAAATTATAAATAATGGAAAATGAATAAATAGTTAAGTATTGTAGAAGTATTACATATTTGAAATTTGGCTGGTGATGTTAAATTTAAAGTTGGTCCTCTGGCTATGTACCAAGTTTAGGACTTTAGAAACACAGCCATATGTTGATCCATTAGCAAATTCCCTTGTGGATACATATTTATTAGTTCTGGAGTCTAGAAACTATTCCTCATTGAGTGAAGTTGAGAATGAAATTTACAAGTTCTGTTTAAACAATTTGTACTTTTTACTCTATAAACAAACATTCCAGATCATTAAGATTCTTTATTTTAATTTCAAGTTATAAGAATTAAAGTGCTTTAAAAGGTATTTTCAAAGTACTATACAGGTGAATAAGTAGGCTGCCAGAGGAGGGTTAGCAGAGTTCAAACATACTTTGTGCAAGACTTTGTTTATACCTTGTTTGGTGAAATTTTAACAATTGTCAAAAGAGGGCATGAAATTACAGTATCAAAATGGTTTTGCCAAAAGCTTTTGGGCAGAAAAGAAAATTAAATGGAAATTGTATCAATGAAATGCGAAAAATAATAAAATAAAATTTCTATTATTCTTATGGCTGCAGGTGCACCAACATGCCCCAAAATTAAATTATATTTTTATTCAAAGTCATTGACAGTGGCGGACAGGGTATAGATAAGTTTAACACCAGTTAATGTAGTGCCAAAAGGAGGTGCAACAGTAATAGTAATAGAATTAGGTGCCTACCTCAATCTGCCACCAGTGTTTGAAATATAATTATCACAAGTTTAATTAAAATTGCTTAAATTTGTATGTTTCCTATGTTGTCTGAGCAACATTGTTTTGGCTAGATTGTAGGAGTCTTGTGATTCCTCATCTACTTTCACCTGATTTGTTTACACTATTGCTTTTGTAACTGCCAAATATGATTAAAATTTACCAACCCTCAACTGGCTCTTAATATCATTGGTGAAATTTTAAGGCAGCTGCTTGCATGGCCCATAAAAAATTTCCAAATAAGCGTAACTGAATGTGTTCTTAATTTTGCATGTTTGCTGGTGTTAAGTTTTTGTTTATTATTTGTCTGCACATTTATGCACCAAAAAGCTTTCTAGCTGCGATTTGATCTCTTTCACCTGTGTTTATAAGTAGTGTTAGTCGGCTTATATTTAGATTTTGCTGCACAGGGAATGTAAATGGAACCGACTTGGAATGCTGGAGCAAAAGTGTTGGAAGTACAAGTAGGTTGCACCTTGCATTAAACCATTGCACTCAATCCATTTTTTTAATATCAATTTCATTTCTTCAATTTATAATTGTTTATATTATAAGTGTCATCTGAAAGATGGAATATTTTTAAATGTTTGTTTATGTTTTCGGTTTGTTTTTCCTGCGTTTGCTTTGTGTTTTTGCCTTCATTATAACTTGATATACATCTTCATTTCATTTTGTTTATGTTGTCAAGTACATGTCATTCACCATCTACTATCAGCCATGGTATCACAACTTGAAAGGTGTCCGAAGTTGGAAGAAGTCCCATTCCGGGTTCAGTAACGTTTCTTAAACATGAAATCTTATTTTGCTGCACATGGTGATATCCATCAGCATTGACTTCCATGAGACAATTATTAAAGAAGTGGTAAACACATACAAATATTATAAATTTGCAGGAGATGGGTTATTTTCCGGGAGGTTCTTGCTTGTGTGGGAGGTCCTCCCGGTTTCCGGGAGACACCCACACTTAGCGGGAGATTTGGGACCTCTTCAATATGAGATTTGTGATTTTTTTACCATTGGTTAACACACTGTTGCTGATGGAATGTCTAACACGAATTGAATTTTCAACACTTATGGAAAAGCTGTACCTAAAATTTTAATTTTAATGTTTTTATTTTAATAAACAATCTCTTAATTTAATTGTTGGTGTTATCTAACATTTGTTTCATTACATTTGTTTGGTTTATTTTATACATTGGCATGGCAAAACTAGGTCATTAAAGTTACCCATTCTCAGTTAGCCACCCCATTTAAAGCAGAATGTTCATTATTAACATCTCACTTATTTATATATACTTATATTACTTATATATACCTATTTTTGTTTTTTTTTCTAAAATTAATTATCTACAGTATCTTATATAATATTAGGTGACAATACATTATGAACCATGATATACATTATGAGCAGTAAATAAAAAAAAAAAATACCATTAGCTATATCTTTGTAAGCAATTAACCATACATTACGTATGTAATTTACAGTTTTAATATTAAAACTTCTGTGACCCTGTAATGGTCTTTTATCACCAGAACACATTTCATTACATTATCTAGTAATGTTTTCTGTTATCAAAAAACATACCTACTGTTATCCTAAAAATGCATATGAGATTGAGTGTTGTGCATTAAATCTATACTTTCTAACAAGTATGTTCCCTCCACTACTGTACTTAAAAGGGACAAAAGCAATAACTTTCTTTGAATGCATCATTAAATGTTGATGTTCCAAACCAAATACAGTATGCTCATAATTCTGTGTTGATTTATTAACATTAACAATAAAATTCCATACCTTACTTGCTTAAATTTGTAAATGTATATTTAATATTATATATTGAAAATTAGAATAAGATAATGTTTTTATAACCAAATACTAGACAAGATTTTTTACCACAGACAAGATACATTAAAAAAATAAATGCATGTTCTTAATGAGCCTTCAAAATGCATAAAGTAATTATTATGTTTATGTTCTAACATTGTGCTAATCTAATAAAAATTAATAATCATGTTACCTAACATCAGCATGAAAAAACAACTTAAAAACACTTAATGACCTGATGATTATGATTGAAAGGTATGAAACTTATCTTAAATTTGATGATTTACTATTTAATGATGATATATGAACACAATTAATATGACTCACCAGATATTTTTTTTACCTGTAGCATGATCTCTTGAGTACCATTTCCGGCCATGTAGAGGTGTCATTGTTCATGTTAGGCCCACCATGGAGTGTGAATGCCCTTGCACTGGCATGCAGGCCATTAGCTCTGTTGTGTTCACATCAAAGTTAATTGAGTCCTCTGAATTTATTGCATTAGATCATAATCCTTCCCACTATCATATATATCATTCCCTCCAAATATTTATATTTACATTTCAGTAATTTGGATGTTAATCTTAAGTATTCTCATAAATATTATCTTGTTTCTATCACTTGTTTTTAAAGAAAATTTGTCTTTTCATAATAATAAATTTAAAAGAAAAAGTAATTATCTGTTAATAGGTAAGTTTAGCAGACCTGGCCGCTATTACTTTATTTTATGAGATTCTGATAAAGTTGCTGGAACGTGCAATGACAGTAATATAAACATGAGTTTATAATAAATCTCCTTTATTAGCATAGAGCACAGTGCAACCAGCAGTTTACTTCAATGCATTGAACCTAAGAATTTAGTTTGACTGTCTGTGAAGTGGTATTAAGAACCACTATAGTACTAGGATGTTGTTACAAATCACTTCCTTTAAGTAGAAATAAGAAATAAGAAATAAAACAACAGATACCACTGGTAGGTGAAAACTGAGTGAAGATAGAGGTTACTATAGCCTAGGTCATTGACATCAGATAAAATGCCTGGCAGGCAAATACTGGTAGTCAAGTTTGGCTGAAGTGGAATTAGCTTCAGAAATTATGGCAAAGGTGAACTAGTAGAAAGAGTGTATTGATAAAATTGTGAATAAGTAAATAGGAGTGGTATGGTGAATATATGTACATGTGCAGTCATTGTCATTCATACAATCAATTCTGCTAAATTAAATTTGCTGATAACTTTCTTTTTGAATATGATTGAAGAGAATTATATTCACAAGAGAAGGAAATTAATATTTGAGAACTAAATTATTGTCCAAATCAGGAAGTGTTTAAATTTAAGTATCTGACTTGATTGATCCAATACCATATAATTGGTTTCTCATACCTGTTGGTCTGTCCTCGAGTTTTTTGAGAGTCTCTTGTTCTGTTAGTGCTGCTTATTGTGATAATGATTGGAGACGTTTGTCTTTGACAGTAAAACTCTGTCCAAAATATCAAATTTTCTTTGACAAAAAAACTGTTGTATGCCCATATATAGTCACGATGTGCCTATATATGGTCATGATGTGATGTCATCCTGACCATATTTAGGCATGTCATGTTTTTTTCAAACAAAATTTCATAGCCTGGACAGGACTTTAAACTCTGTCCACACTGTCAAATTTTCTTTGGCAAAAAACTTGTATGCCCATATATAGTCATGATGTGCCTATACATGGTCATGATGTGATGTCATCATGACCATATTTAGGCATGTCACATGTGTTTGTTACATAAAATTAGATAGTGTGGACAGGACTTTAGCTCACAGTAGATTGCCATTTACCTTGATTGAAACCTGCCACCTGGATATTTGTCTTTAAAGCCAGGAACTTACTGCGTCGTACGACCATTGCACGCCGAATCCAACTTCGCTCTCGGTGAGCAACGGCGCGGCGCCGTCTGATAATTGTTGGTGGCCGTCTGAACAGATCGTCATCAAAAACGATCCATTACGCATGCGTCGTTGCGTTGCGTTCTCTATAGAATTGCATCGGCTGACGATCGTCATCCGGAGTGAGTGCCTGGCTTAAGTGGTTTGAAGCTACTTTAGTAGGCCTGTGCTCTGTTTTATTCCCCCATGACCTAACGATGTTGATCACCATTGGTTAGTCTTTATTCAATAGGCCTTTCTTTCAAGGTCGTAGGTTTGCTTGAGAAGCTGGTAATTTAGTTTACCATTTCTCTTTAGAGATTGTTTAAGTTAGCCTACAGTATTTCCTTTAGCAATACTTTGATCAATCTTTAAATAACAAGTTCCTATGTTTTTGTTATTTATTTAGAAATTTAAAGGGACCAAATGGGAAGAAAAGGAAAGTTTTCCGTTATGTAGGATCTAAACCCTGGAGAGATACTTTTCTTGTAGAAAGATCGTGAGTATACACATTGTACTAAAAAAAGAAAAAATCAACATCATACAAAACATTTAGAATATGTTTTTAGTCTTGTGATTTTTTTTTGATAAGTTAAATTAAAATTTTTTATTGCTCCAAATACGTCCACTTGAATACATTTTATTGGATAAAATATTTTAGGAGAACAGATGAAGAATTGGAGAAATACTACAACAAGACTTCTAAGCTACATGGTGGACAGTTGTCTAAAGAAGATAAATTGCGAGAAGAGTGTGAAAAAATTGAATATGTGTCACCTTGTAAACCAAAACAGGTGAGTATATTACAGTTGCCTGCAAAGTATTTTTTTTTTATTTTTTCATCTCTTCTCATAGTTGTTTCCATCCTGTGCAAATCATTTAGTGGTTAACTTGTGGGCTGAGATGGTGTTTGGAAGTAACTTCTGGACATTTTGAGGTTTTGTCACTCAGAAAAAACTTTTGAATTTAGTGATTTTTTTTTTTTTTTTTTGTATGGGCAGATTTTTTAACATCCTGGCTTATGGGCAATATTTGTTATCAGACTTTTGTTTCAATGAGATCATGTTAAAGAATAAACTAAATATATCTTCAATTTAGAAACGTTAGACTAAAGATTGCATTTTTTGATTATGCTGTAGACCGAAGTATGCAGTTTTTGATAATGGTTTAGTCTAACGTATGCATTTTTTTTATCATGCTTTAGGCTTAAGCGTGCATTTTTTTATCATGCTGTAGGCTAAAGTATGCATTTCTTTATCATACTGTAGGCTAAAGAGTGTATATTACTGGCAGATGGATCTTACCAAATCAGAAAATGCAGACATCGTCAACTGTTGCCAGTCAAAAATGAAAATCCAAACAAATGTGAATGTCCAAACCAAAAGAAGAATGGACGAATGAACAAAGAAGAGAAGAAGCAGCAACGAAACTTTTTGAAACAACATGTTAATAAAGGTTAGTAGATGTTTTAATAGTCTGATAAAGTCTTATTAGAACAAGAAAACAGAATTACAAAACAGAAAATAAACCAGTTTTTTTTTACCTTTACAAGTAGGTCAAACTTCTCAACTGATTTATTACTAAGTTTACCTATTTTTTAATATTCATTGTGGTCTTATTAATTGTATTGTAATTTTTTGTAATTATTTTGAGTTTGCGTGTAGAGTACTGTACTTTTTATTTTATTTCATTCGACGGCTGGGTTTATTTCGATCTGAGTAACTAATTTAACTATTAAATAACTAGATAGAAAATCAAAGTATTAAAACATTCTTGAATTGGACTCCATTGTCGAAATAGCATAAACAAGTCTTTCTTTGGTTTTACTCTACAAATTATGTTTTTCAAGACAATAGCTACATTCGTTTACCTGGCAGTATTACACTATTACAAATATTAATAATATCACAGCTTGAGCATATTGTTACAAATGTGAAACTAAAAACAAATAATTTTTACTAAATTTTACGGTAATGCTTCCATTTGAAATAGTGTCCAATTTACAGATACTTTATGTGAATAATTGCTATTGTCATATGTAGCATGTGCTTAATTTCCGTAGCTGTCAGTAGTACGTGCTTGATCGATGTATTCCTCAGTAGTACGTGCTTAATTTTCTTTGTTTTCCATAGTACATGCTTAATGTTAATGTTGTAATCCCATCTGGTTGTCATTAGCTAGCAAATACCTCCATTGGGTTACCGTAATTTTTATTAATGTTTCACAACATTTCAATGACACAGAAAATTACTTTGAAACGGTCTTTGTCTTTCAGAAAATATTCGGCTTGGACGCTTTCTAGAAAGTGACGAATCGCCATATAGGACTCCTGTAGTTGTGAATGATGATGCTAACATATATCAAGCAGATAGTTCTCTACTTAATCATGTAGTAGTTGATCCTAAATGTCAAGTTTTTCCAAACTATACAGTTTATTGCATTCCAGATGTAAGTATATACCTGTCTTTCATTTATTATTTTCTTAGCTTTAAAGTTTGAATTGGAATAAATATTAGCAGTTGTTGATTCAGATTGTAAGTTGTTCTTTAGTTTTATGAATATTTAGGCAGTTTTGTTTATATTTTTATATGCATAGGCCCATACAGTTTCTCAAATTCAAAAACACCATTGGGACCTGATAGTGTTGGAGGTGGGGAGGGGAGTTTAGGTTCAATTTCCAATTAAAGCATTAGCTGTGTGCTACAAAAAAGAATTAAAGAAAGTGTTAGTTGTTACTTTGAAAAAGTGGTCTCGAATTAAAGCGTCTCAGAGTTAGGAAGTCTCGAATTAAAGGACAAACTGTAATTTTTATTTCATTTAATTTAATTGTCATGAAACATGGTTTAAGAAGACAAAGTCATAGAACATGGAAGTATTGAATTATTATTAAATGAAATAATGCTTCATTGTGTTTATGTGCTCCGAATTATTTTATAAATATGTGCTTCTTTCATAGTTTGTAAACTTAATGTAAACTTAATGTAACCCTTTGTCTTCACCCATAGGTGTTTTCCTCCAGAAAGGCATTACAGGAGCACAAGGCATTTCTCCAAAAACAAATTGATAATGTGCAAATGCAGTTGCAATACTTAAGACTTATCAAAAATTTCTTGCAAGATAAAAATGTAATAGAAAGCCAAGAACAAAAGTGTGTTTGTCCAAAAAGCAAGGATGAAATGGAAAATAAGTAAGTATCAGTCTTTGGAGCTGTGTCATATCTTGATTGCTTATTATAATTGATTTTCATTCAAATTATTTATCCATCTATGCTTCTGAAATTATGCTGCTTGCATAGAGTTGCATAAAAATGAAGGCATGTCATGTCATGTTTTGAGGTCAGCAATGTAGTGCTCTTATTTTAGTAGAGAAATTCATTAACAATCAGTTTGATTTGTATTTAAGGTATGGAGAAGAACGACAGACCCGTGGAAGAAGAAAAAACAAGCAAGACCCTCAAGAGAAGTATGATGACACTTTATTGATGATTTTTACCTCAAAGAAGTTTGATAATACTGTAGTGACAATTACACTTTTTTTTTTAAAATGATAATACTGCAGTGATCATTAAACATTAAAAGTTAATTAAGCTCATTAATATTGTAGTGATAATTACAACAAAGAGTATAAATAGAACAAGAGAGCAAAGCTCCGTTCGTAAAAACGTCACGCTGTGTAGGACGCCCACTAACGGTTGTATGTTCTTTTTATTACCCAGTGCAGCGCTGCGCAGCGCGGTAGAAGTATGCCCGCTATAAACTCAGTAAGCAGAAAACAAAAGTACAGTATCTTGTGGAGAACAGATAAACAGACAAACCGACCGTGCGCGGTGGAGTACTGGGTAATAAAACACATACAAGCGTTAGTTGGCGTCCTACACTAGCTGTGTAGGGCGTATCGTTTTTTTACGCTCTCAATGAGCGTTGTTAGCTCTCTTGTTCTATTTATACTCTTTGATTACAATTAGAAAACTTCATTAACTTTGTAGTGATAACAAGCCAATTCATGGTTGTAGGTGCACATGCTTGTATCCAAGGTCAATCGTAGTCAATTGACATACACCTATGTATGTTGATTGACTATGATACGAGCATGCACGGTCAAACTATGTATTCGCTTATTACACAATGATTACACAGAAATTTGATAGTGTAGTGATAATTACACTAATAGAAATTTAATGAAACTGTGGTGACAAATTATTTTTAAAGATCTGGGTTTTTTTTTGTATAGTAGATCAGTAGATTTTTTTTTTTTTTTTTGATTCATTAAATTCTCATTCTAAGTTCTAAAGTTATTTTAAAGTGGTGAACTTCTTTCATAATCAATGTTTTTATAGAGATTCACATAATCAAGCAAACCTTCCACGATTACTTTAAAATGAAGAAAAGTCTATCAAATTAGTACAATTAAACCAAATTGAAGGCCTCCCATTCCTGAATATATAACATTTGCTATTGTCTTTTTCAGAAAGCAAACAAGAATTGAGGCTCGAAAAGTATCAAAGAAAAAGAACAGGAGAGAAAGAAAAAAAGAATTGGTATGTAATAAACCATATATGAACTGCTGGCAACATGATAAAGACCACTGGAAGACTCCACCATATTGGACAGGTAATAACCATGATTCAAGGATTTTCCTTTCATCATCATCATCAGCATTTTTTAAAGTTTTTTTTCCCCGTACACGAGGGTTAGACTGAAAGCTGTACATTTAGCTGTAAGGTGGATGTGTCCCGTGAGACCTGGTGGTGCGATCAGCGGAAACTTCTGAATTGAGGTTTAACCTGCAAAGATCTTTCCTCACAATGTCCCGCCATGCCTTAAGTGAGCGACCTCGTGGAAAAGGTCCGTCAACATCAAATCATGTGATATGACATGGCCATCTGTCAAACTTACTGCGCTGAAGATGGCCATACCAGCTAAGGCGACTTGCATAGTGTATCATTTTGAATTGTATTAACTACCTCTAATGTTTGGTACAATGTAAATGCTATTAACAGCATTGAAATGGCTCATAATGGCCTGTTAGTGCTCAGCCAAGCAGTTTGCACATACTATGAATATTGTGTGATATTGGTTAGATTATGGTCTGACATATTAACCATCATTAACCTGTGTGTATTGTTCTTGTTGTTGCTATTTACTTTGATGGGCTAGGGTGAACCAGAATGGTGGGGTTACCACATACTTTTCTCGGTCCTGGTTTTTTCAAAACTCTAGGCCTACAGTTTAAATTTCTCATCTGTAAAAACTATATTTCAGCTGAAACCCTGAGCGAGTGAGTCGTATTTAAACCCACGCCTATGGCAACATTTTTTGCGGCACCATTGTATACTGTTTGAATGTAAAGTGTCTTACTACGTCTAACTCCTTTGATGTTATTCCTCAACAATCCATTGGGGTAGTCATCAACATAGCAGATTCAGTTGTTAAAAATATGGCAGATCTAAATGGGGAATGCTGTATTTTTCTTTGACTTTCAATATTACTAAAATTTAAAAAATTCTTTCTTTTTTCTTGTAGATGAGAAAGTATGTGGTTGTTCCCAGTCTAACAACAACACATACTGGTGCCTGAGAACCGTAAATAAAACACATGATTTTCTATACTGTGAATTTATTACACAATTCGTAGAATATTTTGATCATCGAAATGACCCTCATCAGGTATGCCTTTAATTACAATTATACATTCAATAAACGTTTTAGCTTATAATTTAATTAATTACAGAAGGATTTGTCAACTGCATAACAATGTATTATGAATTAGTTGTAAGATTATGCACTGGTAAATTTAATTTAAATGGGCCAATCTGCTTAGCCCTGCCCCCTTGGATATTGCTAACAAATGACAGTGTAAAAGCCTACACACACACACAAACAAACACATGTGTGTGGGACGCCACATGTGTTTGTTACTCACGTACGTATTCCTGGGCCTGTTCTGATTGGTCAGTTGTTAAATTTGATTGTCATTATTCTGGAAATGTCCATTGGAATTGTGTTGTATTAGCAATCTAGTCTACTTTCCCTTAGACTACAACAATAGGCACATGAACTATGAATAATGTGTGGATGAAATTTCTTTCTGTGTTCTTACAGATGTATAATTTGGCACAGGAACTAAGTACTGAAACAAGAAGACAGCTACATGAACAACTTGCAGAAATGAAGACTTGTGTTGGCAATAAAAATTGTATAGAAAAATCATTTATTTATCATAAGAAACCAAAAGGTAACTATTTTTCAAACTCCTAACATTTTGCTTTTCCATTCTAAATTTTCTGTTACTAAATTTAGTTGTGTACATGAGCTGAGCAGTTATCTGAGGGGTATTGTTCCTGCTTCTTTTGCAGAGGACCCAGGTTCAAACCCGGCCAGCGTCTGGTTTGAATTGGAGTCTGATCATTTGACTCCTTAAGTAACCCTCATATTGAGTCAGGCGGGTTAAGGATAATGTTTGTATCTGTATTTGTTTGTTATATGTTGTATTCGGGTGGCGCTGCACTGCGGCTGCGTGTCCCCAGAGTGCCAACTCAAATTTCTGATTTCCTGGTTGAATGAGGACAAATAAAGAATTATCTTTGTTATTATTATGCAGTTTGCATACCTTGAACACCAAAATATTACAGTTAATAGTCATGCTCACAATGGAGTGATTCTGGCCATGACAAATGGTATCTTTGTACTTCTAATATGCAGTAAGTTTTACTAAACCATTTTTTCATGCAGGATTTAGTCATGGATACATTCTGTGAGAAGAAAATTAAATTATTGTTTGCATTAATCTTTCCTGTTTGGAAAAGCCTGATTATTATTTTGTTTGTATTATATGTACTGTATATTGTTGCCAACTAAATTCACAGTGGAGTGAAGTAATTTGTATTACATTCTCATTCAGCAGTGGATGACTCAGTGGTGTTTCTAGGGGTCTTGAAATCGGGGTGGGGGAAAAGGTGAACTGGAGGGGCTTGATGATTTGATTAGGTGAGGGGGCGCTAGCTTACAAAATAAGTTCATTTGAGGTGACTTTTAACTGCTTGAGCGTGAATTTCGGGGGTGGCAACCATGGGAACAAGAATTGCGGGTGGGTGTGCACTCACCGCGTACCCCCTATATACACCACAGAGATGACTTGCCAGCTACTGCACTGGATAACTGAATGCATAATATACCATTCCAGAGTGTCAATCTATCGCAACAACTGACCAATCAGAACAGGGCCAGCAATATGTGCTTGTCTTACAAACGCACAACATGTTGACATACATTTACACTGTCCTTTTGTGGGACGTGAGCAACAATATCCAAGGGGAAGCAGGGCTTAGTGAAAAACTCTATTTTAACTGAAGGTCTTTCTGTTTTTCCTTTCAGCATCTAGTAAAAAACAAAGAAGGGGAAGAGCTTCTTGACCAACACATTCATATAGTAAGTATATATTCATTTGAATAAAAATTTAATTATGTATTTTTTGAAGGTTTGCATGGCGAAGTAATAACGTATATGTTTAAGCTTGCGGTACACCACGTAGGTAGTCCTGAAAAGAAATGTTAAAATTGAGAAAGTCTCGATGTTCCGATTGAGTTGCTTCAATCGTCTTTGGGGAGAATAATATCTTGTTATTAAGTATTATAATTTGGTTAAATTAATCTGGTTGAATAAGTATTATGTATGTATTCATTTGTGTATATATTGATTGATATAAACATTTTTAAAACAAAATTGTAGTTTATAATAATATATTAATAAATAATATTGATAGTGACAGTGATGATAATGGAGCCTGGTCCTAGTGTGAGATCAATTATTAATCCGCATAAAAAATATTTCATATCTTTATTTTGTATGTATGAGGCTTGCCATCCCAAAACCAGCATACTTTTGCTAAATGTTAAACTAAGTAATTATACAGAGAAGCCTCAATACTTTTACTCATAACTTTGGCATGATTATGTCGATTCCAGTAAATGACTACTAAAAACTATCATTTTATATCATATTGTGGAGAATATGAATATAGTAAAAAGTAAATTTTCTTGTTTTGTTGACTGATTCTGGTTTTGGCATGGCAAACACAATGTTATCTGATATTACCTATTAGGTAATGTTAAGTAATGATTTCACCCTTAAAATAACTCCTGCTTAATATTTTACTATAAGAATTGGACCCCTGTAAAAGATAGATTCTCCTTGATTCTTACGTACAAATGGCGGATGAGCTCCTCAGAGTTAATGGCCAACCATATGCTCAGTTTATGGAGGATTAGGCAAGACTTTTTATACCTTGTTTACCAAACCCGCCGTCCACCAATAATGATGATTTCAAATAAAAATAAAATTTTATTTTTGGCCAAAGAGCACATCCACTGTCACTGCCTTGAAATCTCCAAAAATAAGATATGTATATTTCCTCCTATATATAAATTTAAAGCATTTAACAATCCCATTACTACACCAGTAAAATCAGCCATTCAATTTACATTCACCAATAAAATGTTATTTTTATTTTCTCCTCAGTCCGGATGTTTTTGTGGCAAAAGACAAATTTTATTTCTTTTTTTTCTACCCTCTAATGATGATCTTTAAAAAATTTAGTTCATGAAACACGGTATAAAAAATTCTTCATCTTAGCAAGTCTTTGGGGTTTGATTAAGAACTACTTTTTTGGTCTGTTTTTGTGTTCATGCTTATTTATGTTAAGCATGTTAAGCACATAGAGGTTTCCACAATTTGCGCTGTATAAGTCAATCATTATTATCATTATTACGTGTACTAATATTAAGATGTTATGTACAAAAAATCTTATTTGCTAAGAATTAATTTTGTTTTAGTAATAGTCAATATAAGTTGATTGATTTGTTTTCTTGTCTTCTACAGGTTTCCTTGGTGTGGTTCAACGGGAGAAAAGGCCCAGAGGCCTGCTCTTGGTGATGATGAAAGGGATGAGATTAAAAGATAAATAAATTTGAAGCTCATGCCTTCAGATATTTATTGATGAAGGGATAAAACATTTTACAACTAGTCAAAAACACAACCTAACTTTCAAACAAATAGAAGTAGAATGCAGACATTTGTACTGTATCTCAAATTAGACAACTTAGAAGTCAAATGCAGCTGACTGACTCGCCCAAACAAAGAATTTAAATGGTGCTTTTAAGCTAAAAAAAAAAAAAAATTATTTTTTTTATAATGGAATCAAATTAATGAATTGGTATGTTTCAAGACCAATAAATTAATTTGTATGTGAAATATGTGGATAGATAGAATATTTTACCTAATACACAAACTTAAACTGATGATTGTACGAGAACAATAAATATTTTACTATTCTATGCAAATGGTGTAGTATACTATCTGATTTTAATGCAATATTCGATTCAGTCTCATGATAAATTGTGCTGTAAACTTCTTTTATTTATTTTAGAACGTGAAATCACAAAATTACATTGTTATGTTCAAATTATCTCATTACAGTGTCATATTGTGATCCATAATTATCGTATTATAACAATAGTTTCAAAAAATACTTCAAATAGTACCATACCAAAATGCTATATAAAATAATAGGAATTCTCAGAATTAGATTAAATTACTTGAGACCAATTGATCATGAGAGCAGACTAATAAAATCAAATGATCATGAAATTAAAGTGCCAAAATCAAATATTCATGAGGCCAAATGATTATGAGATCAGTTTTTTAAACGATCACAAAAATTTCGTGAGATCAGAGTGTAGATCACATGATCATGAGATGTGTTAAATGACCATGAGATAAATATTAGATCAAATGTTCATGATATCTGAGTGTTAGATCAAATGATAAGATTAATTAGGTCAAGTGATCATGAGATCAATTAGCTCAACTGATCATGAGATAAATTAGGTCAAATGATCATGAGATCTATTTGGTCAAGTGATCATGAAATAAATTTGGACAACTGATCATGAGATCAGTTAGGTCAAATGATCATGAGATCAATTAGGTCAAATGATCATGGGCTCAATTAGGTCAAATGATCATGAGATTAATTAGGTCAGGTGATCATGAAATCGGTTAGTCCAAATGATCAAGAGGTCAATTATGTCAAGTAATCGTTAGATCAATTCAGTAAATGATAATGAGATCAGTTAGGACATATGATCATGAGATCAGTTAGGTCAAATGATTATGAGATCAATTGGGTCAAATGATGGTGAGATCAGTTAGGTCAAATGATCATGAGATCAGGATGTTAGATCAAATAATCTTGAGATAAGTTAAATTGAATTATCATGGGACATCATTGGTGATTAGACCAGAGTGTTGGATCAAAAATGGTTATGAAAATGTTGAATCAAGGATGGTGGCGACGGTGGTTAATAAGATAAATGTTTTAAAGCAAAAAATCATAAGTTCAAATAATTGCAAATCATTAAAGTTGTGTGGTTAAATCATTGAACGTCAACTAAGACTGACCAAATGATCATAAGGTCAAAAGTTGTTTAAGATCATTCATATTTATTTAGTAAAGTTATAACTTTATTGACAATGATTGTAAAATCAGATGTTTTAGTAAGTCATTAAGCATTCATATATTATAGCTGTGAGTTCATTGTTCTTGAAATTTTAGTAAACACTTAGTCTTATGGAGATTTTCAATAAAAAGAGCCAAATATGTTTTTACAAATTACATTAGTACTTTTCTCAATCATTAATTAATTAATTTTTCTATTTAGATACAACATTTAATAACAATGTGGGATAAACATTCATATTTGATAAGGATCGGTCTACATTATAAAATTTTATACCCTATCAGCCCTAAAAATAAGTTGATATAAACAAAAGGGGAAAATCATCATAAATAAACAGCAGATGGCTGTAAAGCAAACCCTACATAGTTTATAAATCAGCAGTGATGGCGCCAGGATCTGCCCGACGGAGAGGCTAAGGTAAGACGGGGGGCTAGGCAAGCAAAGTGAGTTTCACTTGGCCCTGAGGGCCAGGGGCCGTCTAGGGCCCCCGGCGGGGGTGCAGGAGCGAAGCCCCTGGAAGCCACCGGGATATTTGACGAATTATGGCGAAATTTTATTACTTATTTGATAGGCATCAAGCTACTATAATATGACTTCATGTATGTTTGCTAATGTCGAAATCAGCTTCCAAAACCAAAGCATTTTGATAAAACAAGAAACAAAGAGTATACAACGTTACTATCTAATTTATTTTCAAACTCTCATTCTTCAAAGTGAAATTCTGCATTTTGAATATTTTGCATGAAATCTGTCAACCACGCTGCGAAGCTCGAGGTTGCTTCCCCTATCACGATGTATTCCAAGCATCATGAGGCTATTCAAACCAGCATTTGCCGTAACAGAACGCAAATCATTTTTAATTAGTCTCATTGAACTAAAATTGTGTTCACATTCAGCTAACGAAACAGGCAGAGCACATGCCAATAAACTGATATGCTCCAACTCAAAATATATATCACCCCCAGCCCCTCTCTGGCACGACCACTGTAAATCAGTCATGCTGAGAAGGACAAGAGGACCTGAGGTCAGGTCAACATATTCATGTTAGAATAAAAATGAAAAGCAACGAAAGGAACAATGAATTAGAAAGGAAAAGGAAGACAAAAGAAGGAAGAGTGAAATGGAAAAGCAAGACATGGATTGAAAAGATAAAAGAAAGAAAATGAAATGAATTGGAAAGGGGAAGGAAATTAACTATAAAGGAAAAAGGAAGGATAATTAAAGTAAAGTGGGAAAGAAAAATACAATTAGTGAAAAGGAAAACAAAAAAAAAGGCAAGCAATCGAAAAATAAAATGAGAAAGGTAAGAATAATAAAAGTGAAATGGAAAGGAAAGGAAAATGAAAGACAGGAGAGAAAGAACAAGGAAAATATTTTAGATAGGAAAGGCTAAAAAGGGAAAAGGGAAAAAATGGAAAGATAAGATATAGAGCAGTAAATTAAAAGAAAAACAGGCAACAGGAAAAGGCAAGAAAAGAAAAGATATGGAAAAGAGTAAAAAAAGTAATTAGGACAAGAAAGGAAATTAAAAATAAATAAATTAGATGAAAATAAATAAAGTTTTATAATATTTATATAGTACTTCTAGCTATTTATTTACATTAGATAAATCAGAGAAAATTTTATCATCTAAACGGATTGCACTTCCGCCTGTAAAAGCCTATAGAGTTCTTTACATTATGCAATATATAAATTCACATATATTATTATTTGGAAGAATTATTATTTATTATTAAAATTCTAGAAATCTACTCCGTTTCTCATTTTCTTCCACAGGTATATTATTCATATATGAAAACACTTTAAATAGATAAATATAACAGATAAAACATATAATAACAAATATTTAATAGAAGAGGAATCTGACAAAGAAAAGTTCGGGACTCGAACCTGAGACCTTTCGCATACATGGCGAGGCGAACGTCATAAGCCACTAGACCACGAAGGCATTTTGGTGATCACTCCACACACACACATACACACACACACACACACACACACACACATATATATATATATATATATATA